AGGATTTATATTTTCAAATTAAGGCCCCTAAATTTCAGCATCATCCGATTTCAGCATCATCCCCGACATTTATTAATTCTAATACTTACCATCATTTGAGGTAGTGGCAACAATGAACCCTGAATTTTTTTTTTTTTGTTGAAGTAAATGTAATCTCTTAATTACAATTATATATTCGTTAATTTTAATATTTACCATCATATTAGGCGGTGGCGGTGACAACGAACTCTGATTTTTTTTTTTTTTTTGTTGAATATCATGTTAGTCGGTGGCGATAATTTCGTATTTTAGAACTTTAATGCTTTCAGTTTTAAGATTTTTATACTTACCATATACTGCAGCATAGAATTAGATGGTGGGGAATTCTGAGATACAAAGAAAAAATTTGAGACTTATTTAATTTCTATCTTTTAAATAAAATCAATTCTTATTATGAAAGATATATTATCATCATTCTCGCTTGGCGATTGATTTTGAACCTAATTTTCATTAAATTCATTTTCATCCTCATATTTATCATTTTCAGTCTGGATGTTATCTTCATTATTGTCAAACTGAATATCATCACAGTCTTCAATTTCAACGTCATCAGGAATATTTTCTTCATATCGAATTCCTTGAGACCAAAGCTGATCTAAAAAAATACAATTGCCACGAGGCTCATGACCAAAAACCAACTCAAATAGTCTTTTATTAGTAGCATGACATACAGATAAATTCATTAAATAAATTACAGTTGCCAAGCCAACTGTCCAACATAAATCATCATTTTCATTTTGTCGATCCTCAAGCCACTTTCCAAGTTTGTCCTTTAATACAAAATTTGCCCTCTCTACAGAACCTTGGGTTTGTGGTCTTCTCGGCTTTCCATGGATTATTTTAAGATTTGGCCAGAGTTTTGAGAGATTGTTAATAATATCTGCAGTGAACTCATGTCTATTATCACTTTGAAGAAAGATCGGCAGTCCAAATACAGTAAAGATGTCAAACAAGAACACAGCCACCTTTGCTACACATTTATCAGTAAGAATACGGTCCCAGGAAAAATGTGAGAAATGATCTCTGGCATGTGCTATCCATTTAAATTCACTATCTCTTCTAGTTCGCATATCTATAAGATCAATCTAGTAAAAAAAAAAAAGTTATTTATTAATTTTTTTTTAATTAAAAAAAAAAATTTTTTTTTTAAAAAAAAAATCATCTCATACCTGAAGCCGTTGTATAAAAAACTTGCTAATAATAGGTCTTATGGCTAAAGGTTTGCTAGATAATCTGCGTGTTTTACATATTTTACACATTTTAACAAATTTATCAACCAAACATCTTTTATATCATGATATTTATCTGATACTTGTTTATAAGTAGCTCTTGTGCCCCATGTCCAACAGCCAAATGCTTTTCTGCGATAATATAGTATAATCTCTCTTTTAAAGCTACAGGTTTTCAATTATTTGACGATTTCTCTTTATGCATTAATGTTACAATTCCACTGATCCTTTGAGATGAATGGTTATTTTTAACATGGTGACGTATATTAGGATTTGAAATGAAAGTATTTTTAGGATCATTTAAAATCTGCAAATATTCATTAGCAATATCCTCTGTAATTAATGTTTTTGATTTTTTTTTTCGCTTAATGATAGTAAATATTCATCTGTAATTTCATTAAATGTTTGGTATGATAAAAAAGTATATTCGTTAGGTGAATCCATCAGAAAAAAAAA